AAATTTAAATATATGTTGAATATAAATTTTAAAAAGGCACAACCTTAACTATGTTGAATATAAATTTAAATATAATTTTCATTTATTTAAATATGGTTTATTTTTAGTATTTATAAAATAGATTAATTTTAAATTTTTAATCTTTTTTATTAATTATGTTAAAAATAAAAAATATTAATTAGTATACTTAAACTAAAAAATATTTTAACTAAAGATAAATATATTTTTATAAATAGTTTAATTAAATAATATATTTATTATCTAATGTATATTGATATAATTTTTTTTGGGTATATCAATTATATGACAACAACCATGATTAAGTAATTAATAATAATAAAGCAATAAATTTAAAAATTATAATAAAAATAAAGTATTATAAAATAAAATTGTAATAATTTGATTAAAATTGTATTTTTTTAATTAATTAAGTTAATGAGGAATTAAAATGTGATAATTTGATGTGTTTAATTTTTTTAATATAAATTTTTAAAATATAATTTAATTTCAATTGAAATTTTCAATTGAAAAATAAATTAAAGAATATTTTTTATTAAACTTTTCTTAAACAATGTATTGAATAGTTAATATCACTCTAGTCTTAATTTATTACAATTTAATTTTTTAATAAATTTGATTTATTACAATTCATTTTGTTAATATTGAGACCAAAGTTTATTTTTAAAGTATATTTTAAAAATTAATTATTTTTAAAAAATAAATTATTTTTAAAAAATAAATTGTAAAAAATATACTAAAACAATTAAAGTATATTTATAAAAAAATAAATTTAAATATAATAAAAATATAATATTAATTAGCGATCGATTTCAATTCGGTCGCTATTTTCTCATTAGCGATCGATTTTAATTCGGTCACTATTTCAATTTGTAATTCGGTCGTTAAATGATTTTTTTATTTTAGTATGGAATAGCCATCGATTTAGCGCAAAATTTTGGTCACTATTTGGTCGCTAAATAAAAAAGTGAAATCAAATCATATTTTGGTGGATAAATCGATCGCTAAATTGCGACCAAATTAACTTGGTCGCTAAATCGATTGCTAATTGCGACAGAATTAAAGTGGTCGCTAAATTGGTTGCTAATTGCGACCGAATTAAATCGATGGCTAAATCGGTCGATAATTGCGACCAAAATTAAATCGGTCGCTAATTTCGGTGGCTAAATGTGTTTTTTCTTGTAGTGAAAATCCTAAAATTTTCATTAGTGGTATCAAATTTTTGGTTATTATTAAAAAAATGAAAATTACTATTCCAATTTTTATGAAGAAAGTTATGACCTATAAACTATGAGAATGCAATTTTATTTTGAAGGATTGAATATATAGAGTAAAAATATTACATCATTGACACGCTGCTTGAAAATCCCACCATACCCCAAATCAAAATCCACAAGGAAAGAAAAATGAGGAAAACACAAGCGAAGTCATGTTTATATACAGGTATTTTGCAAATGATTCTCATCAGAATCATGATGCTAAAGTCACTTAAAGAAATTTGGAATTATTTAAAATATCAATATGAAGGGGATAAGAAAATTCGAGGTATGAAAGTTCTAAACTTGATAAGGGAATTTGATATACAAAAGATGCAAGAGTCTAAGATAATTAATGAATACTCAAACAAATTGTTGGGTATATCTAACAAGATAAAATTGTTAGGTAAGAAATTTGTTGATTTTATAATAGTTGAGAAGATTATAGTAACTGTATCAGAGAGATGTGAAACATTTGTTGCTTCATTTAAAACACAAAGGAGTTGTCTAATATTACTTTGGCATAAAGAAATACTACATGTTTTATAAGCACAAGAACAATGAAGATTGATGAGAGAATATCATGTTGTTGTTGAAGATTCTTTATTATATCATGGTGAATGTTCTCTCTAAGTCAAGAACAACAAAGATACCAAATTATGTGTATTTTTTGTTTGTTCTTATTGCAAGAAAAATAATTACCCACACAAAGTGTTGGTGGAAGTCTGATGTGAAATGTCGCAAATGTGGTAAATTAAGACATATAGAAAAGATATGTAAATTACAACTTAAAAAAACCGTCTAAGTTATAGAGGATAGAGTGGAAGGAGAACTTCTCCTTGCGTCGACATGCTCTACAATCAACAAATTCAGGTTGACTTATAGACAGTGATTGTATAAATCACATGACTCATGATCTAGAACTTTTCAAAGAGCTCAATGAACCTATTATTTCTAAAGTGAGAATGAGAGGTACATGAATGATTGCAGTTAAAAGTAATACGGGTATGAAATTAATTTTTGATGTTTTATATGTTCTTGGTATTAATCATAATTTGTTAAGTAATGCTCAATTATTGGAAAAAAGTTATAAGATGTATTTTGAATACAAACTTTATGTGATTAAAGATACAAATAACTATTTAAAGTTCACATGAAAAAAAAAATTTCACTTCGGATTTGATAAGAGAAGAGTTACCTACAAACGATGGTAAAAAAGAAAAGTGAAAGAAAAAAAACATGATAAATATTTTTTTGAAGAAACTTGATTTTAAGAAGAAAAATAAAGATGTAGATGAAGAAATCATTTCCAATGTTTATCAAAGGGTTAACGATACTACCATGAAGTTTGTAAGAAATAAAGAAAATAAAGTTGATAAAGAAAGAAATACTTTAATGAAAGAAAGTAAAATTGAATGAAAATGTCTTCTTATACAAGAAGGAAGATAACAAAAAGTACAAACAAAGAAAAAAGAATTTTTTTTAAGCAAAATAAACGGAAGAAGGAAGAATGTTAGAAATATTATTTTATTATTTTTTATTTAAATTATCTATTAAGAAATTTTATTATTTTTTAAGAGAGAAGATAAAAATATATTAGATTATTATTTTGATTTAGGCTGATTGAGATATTATTAATATTTAATATTTTGTAATATTTTTACTCTATATATATATATATAGAGAGAGAGCATATGAATAAAATATATAATCATATAAGATATATTTTTATATGTGAGAAATACACGTACACAACAAAATTCTCATAACACTTTTTATACATTTTCTCTTGTGAAGAAAGAAACCTATTATTTCTAAAACTCATAATCTTCAAAGTTTTTCATTTCAAAGTCCCTTCTCTTTAAATTTTTTCCTCTCTAAAGATGGCTTACCCATCACAACAAAAATTAGTGTATAACTATCTCGTTGTTAATAGTCATCATAATATGAAAAAAATGAAGATGAAATTTTTTTCTATTGTTTAAGACATTGTCACTATTCTTTTATGTCATTATCATCTAGTGTCTTTCTTATTATTATTAGATATATTATTTTTATATGTTTTTTTTACTTAACTTTATTAAAAATGTATAAAAAATTAGAATTGATGTTGTATATTGATGTTAATATTGCTTTGTTATCTTGTGTAAGAAATATAAAAAAAAAAATAACACTCTAATAATTATGTGTAAAAAATGTTGAGATTCACGAATACCATAAATATTAATTAAAAAAAAAGAACAAACATATAAATAATATCATTTATTTTAACAACTGGTGTTATAATGCTTATTTTTACATTGGTTGTCAATGTAAAAAATCTCATTTTTTTAACGCATTTCTAACGATTTAATAACCACGTTTAAAATAATCAATATAAAAATTCTATTTTTTAAGTAAAAAATGACGACTAAAAATTTATTTTAAATTATAATTTTTCTATTTTAAAATATTTGACATTTACACTACTTAGATGAAGATAAGTATTATTTTTCATTATTAACATCCTTTTTATTTTAATATTTTCTCTCATTCCAGAATCATACTTAACTTTATTTATAAAAAATATAATTAAAAGTAAAGATATGAATAATAAAATAATAGTTAATATAATTTTAAATTTTACAAATAACATATAATTAAAATAGATTTTTCTAATCAAATAGTTCTATCTATCTATCTATCTATCTATCTATCTATCTATCTATCTATCTATATCAATCCTTTTCTAAAATGGAAGAGGTTATAAATTCATAACTTTCTCATTTTATTTCTTTAATATGATTTAAAATTATTGTTTTATTTAGTAACTTTACTGCGAAACAGTTCAACTTTAAATGAATGTGTTTGACTGTTACAATGACTAGCTATTATAAAAAAAATTAAATTATATACACTGCTGTCATATTGTTGGATATTCTGATTTCTATTGGTCTCAGACTCTCAATCATATAGACCTGAACCATATTATATTCAGAAGTAATTAAGACCATCCAAAAAATAAGTGTTTACAACTCATCTTTTAAATATATTTTTATTAGTAGTAAAGTATTATTAAAAGCTATAAAATTATGAATGAAACGAAAAAAAAGAATACAATTCTAAATAATTTAAGTTAATAATTAAAAGTTTGAAGAGTAGGTATGAAAAAATATGTCTAAAAAATAATAGCTAGGTTCGCAGTATGGTGTCAGGCTACAGCTTAACCCTTCTAAAATTTTGGAAAAAAAAAAAGTTAAGAAGACGAAGGCGGGTTAAGTTAGTCAAAGAACAAGATTTGAAACTTGGACTATGTTTTTAAGAGGACAAATTAGAGATTGATTTTGTGATAAACCCATCAAACAAAGTTATAAATGATTAAATATAGTTAGCAACTAAATATATCACAGCCACATACATTCCACAGTTAAGGAAATGATTAGCTTTAGCTTATATTTTTAACGGGCACATCAATCATTGCACATGCATCAAATATTCCTGCAACCACCAACTAATTTGGATTACTAGCTACATAAATATATTTAACTGAGAACGCGGAAGAACAAGTTTCAGACTCTGAAGTGGCAACTTTTTTGTAGCCATGTGTTAAAAAGTTTTAAAATGAGGTAACATTGTCTCTTTCTGCCTCAGCCTAAAGGAAGAATCAGTGTGTCGAAGCATGAAGCCACATTCGTGTATTATATAAGGTATAGCTAGTTCAAGCCATCACCATCACTTTCTGTGTGTATGTTTGAATTGAAGGAGCTTCAGGTTTAGGCTCAAAAATATATTCATACACTGATATCTTTATCTGTTATCTGTTGCTGTGGATTAATTAGGCCACAATGCTGAGGTTATTGGGTTGGCAATATTTGGCTACCAAACGCATGAGATGTGGCTATGAGAGGCTGACAAGTTCGAGTCAAAAGATGATGAGGGATGGAAGACGGTGTTGGGTGAAGTCTGTGAATGGAAGATTACGTGGCCTTAGGTTGTCACGGTGCAGGAAGTTTTCCGTAGGAGTTGTGTTGTTTTCAAGCAGAATAGTAAGACTGTACACTGAGGTTGTCAACCGAATGAGCATGGAAAACATATATCCTGCTGTAGTTCTCTCCACCCAGTGGGGTCTTCCCGTTCTCTCTCATTCCTCACACCTGTGCAGATCAAGGAGGACCATCTCTCTTCACAGAAAACTCACCTTCTGCTAGCAACATTTTGCTCTCTGTTCCCATTCTTCTCTGTTAACATATTTCTATAATGTTATTATGGCTCATAGAGTCACAGTTAAATCTGCTTCTGTTTTATATAGAAAATTCAAATATATGCCATCAGCTTCATGCATATACCATTATCAATTATTACTCCCTAAATTCCCTCGAGTTTTTTTACTAACTTTTTTGCTATACTTTTCATCACCAGTTTCCGAAATCCAAATAGCATGCAAGTGGGGGATTTTTTTTTTCCCCGCATGAGGGTTGATTCTGCTTTTTGATACATCTGAACTAAACCAAACTCGTGTGTTTGAATGAAATAGTACTGTTAATTAACATGTTCATAATTCAGTGCTACAAGGTTCTTCCATCATTAGTTGCTCCACATTCCATTGAGGTATAATGATTATGCAGCAGAAGACACATAATCTAGGACAATAAAGATGATATTATCCACTGTAGTGCCATAATCTACATGATTATGCAGAGCAACATAGTGCCATAATCTATGATTATCCCCAGTACTTTTTCAGACCAAAATGAAAAAATACGTAATAATGTGGAGAAATTTGGTGTTTGGAAACCCACGAAAAAGGCAAAGACTACCTACAAGAACAGGTAGCTTCTGTGTTCACTGACACACTCCTTTACAGCGATGGTCCAATTATATTGTTTTGCCAACCAACTATTCATCATAAATCTTGTACACGTACGATTAAGTCCCAATTCCATGCATTCTCTTTTGAAGAGGGAAATGCTAATTAAAGTAATACAGTACAACAACATCGCATATTGATATAGATGAGTTGTTTTTCAATTCAAATTCACTTTTTTTTTTTTCTCACAATAACTTAAATTTGGAGCCATTACTTATTTATTTTTAAATTTAGAATAACAGTCACAATATAATTATTGAATTCAATTTTTGTCCTCCTGATTTTCAAAACTCTTTCACTGAAAAGGCATTGATTACATTGTGTGTGATTTTTTTAGCCAATTAAGTTACTAAGTTTGTAAAATTATATAATAGGATTTTATAATAGGATTTTGGATTTTAAAATGAATTTCTTGTGTATACATAGTTTACGGGCACAACAGAACATATTAACACGTGGACCCTTTACATTCTATAATATATTATTATACATAAAATATTAAATTATATTAAAAAGTAAAGAGAAAATAAAGTGCCTCTTGTAGCTCACATTTCAAACGGAGATTAACGAGTTAATTAAGAATCACATTTAAATTTCTTATCATTATATAAAAACATTGTTTGTGGTTAAATTAATAAAGAATTGCATTTGAATTTCTTATGATAATATTAAAAGATAATTGATTGTTAAATTAATGAAAAATCACATTTTTTATCATTATATAAAATAATTTGTGAATAAATTGATGAAGAATCACGTTTAAAATTCTTATCACTGTATTAAAAGATAATTTGTGATTGAATTGACGAAAAATCACATTTAAATTTCTTACCATTATATTCAAAGTTAATTTGGGATTAAATTGATGTGAAATCACATTTAAAGTTCTTTGCTGTCCACATGTCATATTATTATTGGACAGGAAACTAACTGACACTTGATATCAAATAAAAGATATTTTTTTATATGGGCTTTTTGGTGGAGAAGCTATTTGGGCTATTGTGGCATCTTGGCTATGGGCTATATTATTACATTAAGGCGACCCTGTATGACACAAGTCCATAATTTTCAAGTTAGTGGGTTTTTCGCGAAAGAATAGCAGTGCTAAGTCTATGGCGGTGGTAGTGGCCGTTGTCGTCCTTTAACCTCACCCCACTGGGCAATCGTGGTTTTCGTAAATCACACCAATCGCGTTTCTCAAAGGTTTTGCTCCTCTCTATTCAACTTATCAATAAGCCAAATCTTTATCCCTCTTATTTTCACTCTTTAATCCATTAACCTTACGATTTCTGTTATAGTTTTGCACTCGCACTCTCACCCTAGCCATGCATGCTTTAATTCTGTCCCTCCCCCCTTTTTTTTACCTGTGCTTCCCTCATATTGCATTATATTACTACTAGTTTTCTCCATATATATGGCCCCTGATGGAATTTTCTCAATTTAGTTTGAGACTAGATCACACATAAGCTGCAGCAAAAAACAAAAGAAGAAAAAGAAAAAGCTGAAAAATGACCTGGGAAGTAATGGGCGGATTGGGTAATTGGATTTTTCTTTGGTAAAGTTGTTTGATTGGTGGTCTAGGTATCCGTGAATCCATCCACTATTAAATGAGTCAAGGGTGGACTTTTAATTTATTTATTTTTAAATATTTTCTTAATTATTTGTTCAATCCAGTTAACAATTTGTTCATCCACTTGCTTGTTACCCTTAGTTTGGTTTTATTGTTAAGCTGTTGAGCTCTCACCCCAAGCTCTACCTTTTTCTAGAACGGGTGAGTTTGCCCATTACAGGTTACAATAGATGAACAATAAATATGGAATGACTTCCCATGCATTTTTCTATTCATCGATGACAACTATGCGGTTTCAAAGAGGGTAGCAGAATATGTTAAAATACTTAATTGACTCTATATGGGTATTTTTTTTTATCAGTGAATTTGATTTAATGCAATTTGACTGCTGCCTATGTCATCAGCGATTGTCATTTAAAAAAATTGTAGTGGTGATCTTGGTTTGCTTTAATGCCTTGTCAAATTTTTTATTTGCTAAATCTTGCATAGAAACTGAAATTTCAGTTGCTTGAAAAAAATGGTAGTGTGGTTTTTTTACCCCCTTTATGCATTTATATTAATATTAATTTGTCTTCTCTGAACATTATCCTAACTCCTTTGTGGGCTGGAAGTTGAGAGGTTAAAAGATGTCTCTTACAATCTGAACTGTTAATTGTTTGTGGTTATATTGGACATATAAATAAATCAACCATTTATGAGCTTTCGACTACTTCCAGCACTTCTCCTGTCCATCGAATTGTAAATAATTTGCATTAGGCCTAATTTTGCAGTTATATGCTTATGAATGGCGTGGCGGGAGCTTGGAAAGAAGGTGAGTCAACTTTTATATATATGCAAAAAGAAAAAAATTATCGAAAACTTCTATCAAATATGATAATTATCCAGTTTGCAAGTGATTGAACTTTTCCTGTATAAGTTACTATGTCATATAGCTCATTCAGTTGCTGATAATTTTTTTTACCTGAATACAGAGAATATGTATGAATTTTACTAGAGCTTTGATTGCAAAGCCATTTAGGCATGTGACAGGATCAAGTTTTGCTTCCACCTTTGCTGCACAATCTGTTTATGCATCAGCAAAATGCATGACGGGTAATGACATGCTGTGTGCTTTTAATATTGTTTTGTTTGGCCTTATTCATTACATGCTATGCTAATCTCTTACTATTTAACTACATGATGTAGATATCATCAGCCAATCATCTCAGGGAGTGGCTGGTTTTGGCAGTGAGACTAAAGAATGTGGAATACGGTAAAATAGTATTCAATTTTCAAGTTTCAAATTGCACCTTTGATAGCATTATCATTTGGGTGATACAAGGGCGATTAAAAAATGGCCCTATACATTGTGAATAGAAATAGGAGTGAGTTGTACTTCCAAATGTATGAATATGATTGTGCCGAAAGCCAAAGACATGAGGGCATATTTCAGAAACCTAAATTTATCAGAAATATTCCATGACTAGAAAGTAGAACTGCATTGGTGATAAGATGGGTTATGGTACCATCCTACATAGGCGTTTCAACAATGAGAAGTCATTTCATAAATTGTGATGTCTGTGAAATTGAATATATTGATCTTTGATTGTCAGATTTGTCATAGTTAGTAGTAGAGAAAAAAAGAAAAAAACATACCTAACTGATATTTGATTAGTCTTTGCTGGAGCAAAATATTCACTGTATTCTGTACTTAACCTCGTGTTTTTTATTTATTTATTTATTTAATTTAATATTTAATTTTAGAAGTGTTTCTTTGTTATAAGTAGTCACATGACTTGCATTAACAGTTAACTTTTATGAGAGTTCTCCAGGGGATTTGATTGTTTTGTTTAGTAACATGCTAGCAATCCTATCATAACATAATCCTGTTTTTTATTAAGCATCTTCACCTGTAGAGGAAAATGCCAAAGCTAAAACTTGTTTTATTTTACTTAATAAAGAAGTGCCATCAGTTGAAATCCTGAATTGTATGGAGATTTAGGTGATTTGATTACATTTGTAGGTGCTTCCACTCTAGTTCGCAAGTCTGGGCACGAAGTGATGGACCATTAGGTCTGAAGACCCCAAAGAGGGGGAAATATGTGAAAAGGGTTGGTAGAAACCAGCCACCTGTTGAAGCTCCTTATGTCTGTCCTAATGTCACAGCTAAAAAATATAATCCTGATAAAACAATAGAAATATTTGAAGGCATGACTCTTGTTGAACTGGCAAAGCGCACTGGAAAATCAGTATCTTCTTTGCAGAATATCCTCTCTGATTTTGGTGAAAAGGTTGAATCAGAGTTTGAGCTTCTGACCGTGGATATTGCTGAACTTGCTGCAATGGTATTTTTTCCATCTTAGTCACAAATGGCTTTAAACCAGTGAATATTAGGAACTAGTACTTACTACCTTCTTTTGATTCCCAATACTTGTTTGTCTGTCCTTTTCATAACTCATTTGCAAATGACAACTCATTATGAATAAATTGAAAGTAACTCTTGTTTGACGTATTTTTCCCAAGAAGTATATGAGATTTAGGGTTAGCTTTCATAGTGTTTTAGTGATTTGAGTTTTGAATAAAATACAAGTCTTGTTGTGAAGTTTTGATGGAGTTGAATGGAACTTTAAGAAGTGTTTTTCCTGATATTAGTTGGTATTGGGTTGTGTTGTGTACCTTCCCTTAGGTCTAAGGATACATCATGATTAGAAAAATAAAGGGAAGAAAAGTAACTGAACAGACTAGGCCTAAAGTACGGAAAGGTAGGTTTGGTCAAATATTTTATTGAAAATCATGATTGAGGTAGTATACTAAGGAATTCATACAATATTTTTATTTGTTTACATTCATTCTTGGATGTTGCCTTGGTGACTTCAGCCTCCTTTCTCTCCCTCAAACCCTAAAACTCCTCAAAATATGCCACATGATTAACATTTTGTTTCCCTTTTTGGTAATTTATTCATTTAATTAGTTCATTGCTGCTGCAGGAGGCTGGCATCAATGTTAAGAGGCTACATTCCACCGAAGGTGCTGAAATTTTACCTCGATCTGCAGTAGTAACAGTGATGGGTCATGTTGATCACGGTAAAACATCTCTTCTTGATGCCTTGCGTCAAACATCTGTGGCAGCCAGGGAGGCTGGTGGCATAACTCAACATCTAGGTGCTTTTGTGGTGGTCATGCCATCAGGAGCATCAATCACATTTCTTGATACTCCTGGTCATGCAGCATTTAGTGCAATGCGGGCAAGAGGTGCAGCAGTTACAGATATAGTGGTGCTGGTTGTTGCTGCAGACGATGGAGTCATGCCTCAAACACTTGAAGCTATGTCCCATGCAAAAGCAGCTAATGTACCAATTGTAGTTGCAATTAATAAATGTGATAAACCAGGTGCAAATCCTGAAAAAGTTAAACTGCAGCTTGCTTCAGAGGGCTTGCTGCTGGAGGAAATGGGTGGAGATGTTCAGGTTGTTGAAGTTTCAGCAACTGAAAAAATTGGACTGGATAACCTTGAGGAAGCCTTACTACTTCAAGCTGATATGATGGATCTAAAAGCGCGGGTTGATGGGCCTGCCCAAGCATATGTGGTGGAAGCAAGACTTGACAAAGGACGGGGTCCATTGGTAACTACTATAGTAAAGGCAGGGACTCTAGTTTGTGGTCAGCATGTGGTTGTAGGTTCACAATGGGGAAGAATAAGGGCTATTAAAGATATGGCAGGGAGGTTAACTCAACAAGCAACACCTGCTATGCCTGTTGAGATAGAAGGGCTTCGAGGGCTGCCAATGGCCGGTGATGATGTTATTGTTGTTCATTCTGAGGAGCGAGCTAGAATGCTCAGTTCTGGTAGGCAAAGGAAATGTGAGGAGAACAGGCTTAGGAATAAGATGATACAGGACAAACCATCTACTTCAGATGATTCCACGGAGGTTCCGCGGAGGGTTGAAATGCCAGTAATAGTAAAAGCAGATGTTCAGGGAACTGTCCAAGCTGTCACTGATGCATTGAAAACTTTAAACAGTGCTCAGGTGTGTGAAGATTATTGTAATATATTTAACTTTTCTTGTTGCTTACACATGCAAGTGTTATACATGCAAGTGTTTCACCTTTTACCACAGGCAAAGTGAGGACAAAGAAAACAATCTATGCTTTTATAATGCTAGTGTTAGAGATCTAGGAGTTTCACCTTTGACCCATTTGGTATCAAAGCCTTTTTTTATTAAATGATTTGGATCTTCCTGTTTTATTTTTCTAAATCCCAACAATTTAAGCTTATAAGATGTTGTGAGTTTATGTTTTATCCATGTTTAACCTCAATGCTTGAGTAGCCAGTGTGTGTCTGAGATATGAAGTGAAATGATTCTTGGGCATGCTTCTAAGTGATCAAAATTTTAGGTGAAATGCTTGGTTTACGACAAAATATGATTGATTACTTGATATAATAGTTATGTATGCCATCATTTATCCATTTAAGTTTATTTGGTGGTATGATGAAAATGCTAGGTTTTGGTGAACGTTGTCCACGTTGGCGTTGGACCACTTTCTCAATCTGATGTAGACTTAGCACAAGCTTGCGGTGCTTGCATAGTTGGATTCAATGTCAAAAGTCCTCCCACTGCCCTTAGTCAGGCAGCAAATCGTGCCAGTATCAAGGTATTATTTAGCTATTAAACTTATGCTCATATTAAACTATACTGTGATCATGCTAAAAAACTCTGACAAGAACCTTTAACTTCAAGTTGACATCCCTATGGTTTGGTTATAGATAATTCTGCACCGTGTAATTTACCACCTCTTGGAGGACATAGGCAATTTGATAATAGAGAAGGCCCCTGGGACGTGTGAAACCCAGGTTGCTGGACAGGCAGAAGTGCTTGACATCTTTGAAATCAAAGGGAGCAAGTCCAAGGGTCCTGATGTGAAGATAGCTGGTTGTCGTGTTATTGATGGTTTTGTGACAAGATCAGCGACCATGAGGCTTCTGAGGAGTGGGGAAGTCGTGTTTGAAGGACATTGTACATCTCTTAAGCGGGAGAAGCAGGATGTGGATACTGTGAAAAAGGGAAATGAGTGTGGGCTAGTAATTAGCAACTGGTATGATTTCCAAATTGGTGATGTTATTCAGTGCCTGGAACAAGTTGTGAAGAAGCCCAAGTTCATCAAGTCAGAGAGTGGTGCTGTTCGAATTGAGTGCTGATCGAGTTAGTTGAGGATTCTTCAACGCACATTTTTGTGATATATATAACACTGAGCCAGCAAAATAACTCCATATGGAAGTTATGATAATTATTCTTTGTTGTACCAAAAGAAAGTGTAATTAATTTTGAGGCACAATCTGAAAGATTAATATACTAGGTTTTTTGGCCTTTTTAATCCTTGTTTTTGGACTATCAGCTGTACCATTTATGCTCAGAAATATTTTCATTTTGATCGTGTGAATTATTATAGAACCAATAACTATCTTGTGATGTACAAGCATATAAAAGAAAGTATATTTATTAATTTAATTAAATAACTGTTCAATTTTTTCGCTTTTTATGCTTTTGTCATATATTTTTCTCGAGTTTACTGCAACTAGCATCAGTTTTAATGGGTATTACTTGTACATCTCGTAAAGTAGTACCCAACCTAAATAATTTTTTGGGCACAAAAACAATGAAACAAAACAGCAGTATTAAGTATTTAGTTAATGATGATTTCAAATGTTAATTTCACGAATCGAAGAAAATATCTTTATGTCTGATCAATATACAAAAACATAAGATGTCAATATCCTCCAACTCTTAATCAAATATTCTTGTGTTTTCCGCTATGAAATCTCTCATTTGCCCACCATAAATTTTTTGGCCTACATGCTTTGTGGCTATTTCAGCTTCGGCTTTTATGGTAATAATGAGGCCGATGGTTATTCTAGTAGATGGGCCTCCGGTATGGGCCGTTGACAATAGTGGATAAATTGGATCAGTAAATAATTAATTGTCTGCGAGTTGTAAAAATGAAGAGATTGTATTTATAAATTAAATGAAGGTGAATATAAAAGTTGTTTGTTTTAAGGAATTTGTTTATAGTCAACTATATACAAATGTAAATATTTATTAAGATTTCAAAAAAATATATCTTTTATTTCAGTTATATTTTTATGGGTTCAATTTTTACTCTATATTAAAGGCAAAAAGGGTACGTTATATGGAGATTTTTGTATTCCACTTTAACTTCTATTTTCCTTTTATTTTGTTACCAAATATGTCTAAAAACAATATTTTTGGAAATGTGATGCATAAAAATACAATACAACTTGAATCAAACGCTGCCTAATTAGCTTTAAAGATAGCTAGACTAAGTTAGTTTCTACTCTGAACCTCAAATTCATTGCCTTTTACATTTTGGCAATTTTACTACCATAACAAACTTCACATCATCAACCTTTGTCTCTATCCTCTCTTTTCAACTGTTCATTATTAGAATCATAATTCTGTAATGAAAGAAAAATAACTTTTGTGATCATTATTTTTTTTCTTAATTAATGTGATTAGAACATTTATTTAAAAATTTTAATTATCATAATTAAGAACCCTTAAGCATTGATACCCATTAACCCAAATTAATCAAACCAAACTCGTATATTTTATATTAAATATTTTGAGGGTTTATGTGAAATCTAATCCAACTCTCTATATGAAAAAGCAACACAACCACATTTTTCAAATTTGTTGTTTTATGAAGGTGGTCGGTTTAGTGGCTGTTAAACTCTGAGAAAAGAAGGGATAATTGGTCCCAAAATTAATTATGTGTGACACAGACAACACAGAATCTCATTTTCAAAACGAAGCCAAAAATAATAAACCCAAAGACAAAGCTGGCACCACTGTAGGCACTACTTACCAGGCTTTACCCGAACCTAACATCTGACACGTGGACTCTTTCTGCATTACAAGGCCAAGGACTACAGTCGTAAAAATTAAGGAAGAGTTTCCACATTCAAATCAAATCAAATCAAAACCTGTTTATGAAACATATCAAACATAGTATATATATATACACACGCATAAGGTTGGAATTTAAATCCAAAGCAAATGAACCTGTTGTTTACACAAGTTTTTTCTACTGTGCATTCATTTATTCGTTTGTCTTGGGCAATTTCACGCCACATTTATCTCTCTTCTTAACTGTTCATTATTCGATATTATTACTACCCAAATTCAACTTTGATGATCATTGAGAATCCTAATCTGCGTGATCTAATTGGCTGTGACCGACAAACTAGCGCCGTTGGAATTGATGTCTGCTTGTTCCCAGGAGGAGGGGGTTTCGTTCTCGGACGCCGATCGTCGCGGATACGAAGGAGGCAGTGATGACGATTCCGAAATCGGGAAGAGTCAACTGCGCAGCAGACGAACGGGGAGTGGTTTTGGGAAGGTGGTTGTGCATCAATTCGCAAAAGCGAAGAAGAAAATACGCGGAGTTAGAAGCAGAAAGAGTCTTCTTGCGAAATCGCGTTCGGGGAATGACGAAGGTAAGTTGATTGGTGTTGACGGTGACGTCAGTGAAAGAAGATGGAGAGGGAATGGGTGTAGGTTTTGCTTTTTGCGGCCCAAAGTGTTGGAATCACCTAATGAGTCTCCCACGAGTGATCCCAATGACCCTAATTTCACTCATGCCATGTTGAGAACTTTGATGGAAAAAAATGATTTCTATTCCCATGAATGCAACCCTCACCTGGATTAGTTACTGTTGCGGTTTCCTTTCTTTCGCTTGGGTTTTAGGATAATCTGCTAAAATTGAAGTGGTGTAAGCGAAATGATGAAATTGTGACATTATGATGGCTCGTCAGGGCGATAATTGGATTTGGAATTGGATGTTCAATAAAAGTGGTAGAGATGTGAATTGAGAGACAGGAACAGTGTAATGTCGAACCCTCATTTGCTTTTTTGATCATTTAGGGCAATGTGGTGTAAGAAGTTATTAGCAGGGAACTTGCTGCAATACAATGATTATGGGTTCAAGAGGTTGAACAGGTTAATGTGGATTAGAGAATGGAAGGGTTGCTTGATCAAACTACTGCTGCTGGAGAGGTTGGCGAAAATTGGATTCTTTGATGTTCTGGAGTTTCTACTTGTCCTCATTTGGAGAAGTGGTGTACATATCAATACTGAAAATTTTTGAAGCCTGCTATTCTCATAATCTCTTTCTAGCTATCAAGACTTTTTTATTAGTTTCCTAGTGCATAAAATTTTTTCATTCAGAGGTCTAGAGTAGTTGCGATTTATGGAAATTTTTTTGCATAGTAGCTTGAACATAGATTGTTCTTCTCAGCATCAGTTTGATTTGATTTCATTTTTTCGATAACTCATGTCCTCACATGTGTTTGATGGTATTTGAAAATGGCAATGGTTCCCATTCTCGAGTCTGCATATATTTGGAAAATTTCAGAGAACAAAATTTAGAAGTCATTTTGTATTGTAAATCTGGAAAAATTTGTTTGATAATAGATTGGTCTGGCATATGTTTGCCCCATGATGAAGGGCTTTAATATACTTTATATGTTTGTCGCTCATTTTGGCTAGGCTGCTGGCGTTCATGGGTTTCCATCATAAGCAATATACATAATCAGTATTCATTTCAATCTTTCTCTTCTAGTTGTTGTGTACTCTTTGATTCCCTGCAAGATCTTTTCTACATTCAACAATTTTATGCTCTCTCTTTTTATTTATTTATTTTGTTCATTTGGATGCTTAAAATCCAATTTCAAGTAATTTCAATTGTGAACATTTCTAATTAATGGGTTCGTTTAACATTTTTATTGTTGTTACAAATGACTTCGAATGTTCAGAAGGTTTTTTCAGACACTTTCTATCAGATTTAATATATAATTTTGGTACTTCATCTTAAGAAAATTTAGTTTTTGCCTGAAAAAATTCTTTGCTTCATTTATTCCCAGCCAGAAGCAAACTTATAGCAATTTATATATAGCAGTTTTTATGGGATTTTTCATCATGCAGGACGGAAACCCTTTTCTTTTGTAGTTTTGTTTGCGTAGCACCATGCCATTTCCATGTTGACTAAAGAAATTGAGAGTGAGGTTTGGTAAGGCTTTCTGCAAGTGATCCTGTAGCTTCTGTACGAAACCTGAGTTCATGGTACACGTTTTAATATGGTCCAGCTGTTGAGTTATTCTTTTAGAGGTGTGAACTAGGTCTACTTATGGCCCCAAACTTGATGGTGGCAACCGTGGGAGGTACACCTTCATCTTGGCTGAGACTTGTATCTTTGACCCATAGCAAGGCTGGAAATTCCTTATATGACTTCTTATATTTTAATTTTAAACATTCTAGATGAGGTAGAAAACAAGAAAACCAAGATAAAGAAGAAGAAGAAGAAGGCAGTTTTGTTTTGTGGAATTTTCTTTCTAGTGTTTGTTGCTGGCATATATTTCATCATTGCCACTATTTTTCCTGTCATTTATTTCATTCTCATCACTACTTCTGAGCTGGTGCCCTGTAATGTACTAATTATCTATTTATTTTGGGGAAGGATGACGGAAGTTCGCCTCACTAGTGCACTTTTATTGAAAATTCGTTTGTTTAGCTTTTGATTTTCTTAATTATAGAATGAGCAATGTAAGGGATGAAAGAGAATAGATGCTTTAAAATATTTGGCAAGGACAAAGAAAGGTGGTGAACTGCGAAAAAGGAGCCTTACCTGAAAAAATGACTTGTGATTGATGATTTGCTAATTTTATAGCAGATGGTAAAATAATAATATTAATCATCCCCGGTAATGCGATTACTCTATGATACATGTATAGTTTCATAGTGCATGATTATCATGGGGTATCTGGTTATTTTAGTTTTGGCACAATCTATTTTTGAATGGGGAATGTAAGTTTGCTTCAATGATCTCATATTCTCATAAGTTTAGTTCATGTGAGTTAGCTTAAATGTTATCATAAGTTGTGTGCATCTGCCAAAGAAAACCAGTTATGCTGTACTATCACATAGTTCAGATTCTCTGGTAAAGCTTGCAGGTTTTGACTAATAGATAAGAAATATGGTATCCCTATCCCATCCATAGAGAATTTAAACTTGTGAGATTCTTTTATCCCAAAAGCTTTTGCTTTTGGTTACAAGCAGAGGAATCCCAAAAGCAAAAGCATGTTATTCCAACAAATGGTCGCAAGGCTGGAACACAATTCTGTTAACAGATTAAGTAAGCACATTACCTTGTAAAAGGAAAACAAAGAATATCTGGAATTGTGCGAGGCAAAATGTCCTGAATCATTTACGATTGTTATCAGAGAGAAGAGAACTGTAGTGGTGAGTGGCCACACTACCCATCAACAGGAATAGCAATTAACTTGATTGACCTATGAATGGTTTGTTTCGGTGATATGCTTTTTGCTATTTACCTTTTCCATAAATAAATTAGTGATGGAAACCAAATTGGTACCAAAATAAGGTGGTCTGAAAATGAATCATATTCATTACTTCACGATTCAAATTACAAGCAAGACATAACACGCGGCACCAAAACTAGTTGTAATTGACGGACGCGATTAATTTGTGACCTTCAATTCGTTGGTAAAAAGTTTGACCCACTAAAACAAGTAGTTCGAAGAATTGTTTACTTAATGTATTATTTTGCCAGCAATTACTTGTAATGAGCAAATTCGTGTTAACATTGATGTTTTTCCCGTCCTGACAATGTTATTGCCTGCCATATATTGATGTCAATGGCACCCACATTTACATCAACATTGGTATGTGTAATTAACGTGGGAAGCTGAGAACAAGAAAGCTTTAAAGCTTCAACCTCAAATGAGGCACTTTTCATACCAGATAAGACAACAGCTCCACCATCAAGAACCCATCTCCTCAGCACTGCAATTAATTTTGAATGCAGTTGTGCGGTTGTGGGAAAGATAAGCTTTAGAAGGGTGTAAGGAAAGCTTGAGAATTAGTGGATGATCTGAAATATGAGCTAATAAATCAATGAAACAGATACTGAGTTTGCATATGGGTGGGGTAAGGCCCATGTTGGTGTAGGGAACAACAAGCGAAGGAACGAGGAAACTGTAATTAAAGAGAAACTCTTATTCGCTCATAAATAAGGCTTATTTCTTTACCAAGTTGTCCATTTAATCTCATTCACATTTTTTTCTTACAAACGTGAATCAAAACCCTTTATAGTACTAACAATGAATCATTTCTGTCTGTAAGGAAAGAATAAAACCTATCTGGACAGTAATGCTTATCAACATATCATTTGTTTTAAATTTGTACAACCAAAAATAAGCCAAGGACCAGTTTGAAACTAATTTTGCCATAATGAACTAGTTTGTTTAGGTAAAAAAAGAAGTCATTCAGTGATTTCTTTGTGTGTTTTTTTTTTATATAAGTTTCAATTTTATAGTTTTTAATAAGTATTAAGCTAATTTTCTTATGGATTATTTTAAAAGTTATATATTAGAAACTTATTTTTTGAATTAAAACTATTTTAAAGAATAAAAATTTGAATCTTATAACAAAAAATAAAAGATCAATAGATCTAATTATAGACATATAAACATATCAAATTAATAAAAAAAATTATATAATAATTATGACAAATAATTATATTTAATATAATTAAAAATATATTTATTTTTATATTATTAATTATTTTATTATATTTGTGTTTATCACCGTTATAAAAATAATTAATTTTATATTATATAGATTATTAAGTTTTTTCAGATTTAAATATAATTTAATAATATTTATAGAAATAATTATATTTATAAAAATAATTCATTTTAATGAATAGTTATTATTTTTTATTAAATAAATTTTTTCTATAATTAAAATAGCATATATATATATATATCATTTAATCATTAACTAAAATTACTTTTTTAAATGTTTTGATATTAAAAATTTAATAAAATAATCAGTATGATAAATATTTTAATTAGATTAAATAAATATAATTTTTAATTATTTTATTAAAAATATATTTTTTAAAAATACTAAGTTATAAATTATTTTAAAAATTATATATTATGAATTAAAAGTATTTAAAAAAAATAAAATATTAAATATTAAAAAACAAAAATAAAAGATGAATAGATATAGTTTTAATTAGTGACACTTAAACCTACGGCGCTAATAAAAAGTGTTGTCGACGATGATGGGATTGAAATCAAAAGTCATTGGTCAATTTGTGTGCAGTTGATTAGAAGGGTTTCTAATTTCCAAGCTTGTAGCTTGCAAGTCGGAAGTACCACCTCATGACAGCAACCCTACGTGCACATTACGCTATGCTTGAATAAACCATCTTCCAATAAAGATACACTTTTCTGATAAGGCCAAATCCCCACTAGATGCTTCTCTAAATTTAGCATCACCATATTTTATCACTCAAATATACATCCATTGTTGTTACTACCTTAACAAGGTTAATTTGAGTAAAAACTTTCAGCATTAATTGAATTTTCATCTTGATAATTAATATTAAATTTAATATTCATATTTATCATGTAAATTATAGAAATACAATCTTTAATTATTATTATTATTATTATTAAATTTAGTAGAAGGAGTTATTTTGAAGATCCAAAACCTCACCTGTTTCAAAGTATGATTATTTATAGGGAATGTACATGGGAAATAATAAAAATTTAAAAAGTCAACAAAAATTTTGTCTTAAAAAGTAATATTCTAATAAAAGTAATATGTTGTTAAATTAAT